TGTAAATGAGAAAAAAATTAGCATACACGTATGTATGTGTGTGTGTGTGTATGTATGTATGTATATATATATAACAATGTCTTGACATTTTTATGACACCGTAATTGAAGCAATACAAATTAATTGAAAAATTTGAAAAAAATGTGTGTATATATACATACATTTTATATATATATACTAATTCCTGAGTGCTAAAAAGTAACATAGTAAACAACCCATCAACTCCAAAATGTTTATGAAACAATCTAGTTTAATAAACATCATTTAGGGACACATTCATGCATGACAATGCAAACCAATTGTGCTGACGCCCTGTCTTCCATTCACAGGTTTAGCTTCTTTTCCCGTGACAAAAACCGAGGCTCTCAGAGGAGGATGCCGCAGATGGGTGACGGCTTCGGCTCGTGGGCGGGGAAAGAGGACGTGTACACAGAACAGGCCCAGGAGGCATTACAGCACATGTAACGAACACAACGCTCCACTAACCGCTAACCTGCACCATGTGACCGTATGCCACGTTTACGCTCCCTTTCATGGTCACTTTCACAGCACTACGTCTGCAAGCAGATGAGACAAGAGCTCACAAAGGGAACATGGGGGACGGGGCTGTTTAGAGTTACTGATAGATTGTGGCCCTCACCTTCGCCCAAAGATACTGTGAGGGAGTTTTATGTGCCTATTTTGTACGATAGATAGACATTTTATTGCTATTGCAAACGACAAGTTACTGTAAGTAAGTAGACGAATAGATTTCAGACAGTATTCTGATGACGTTTAAAGAGAAGATGCCTTCGGTAGATAAGATACATATCTATTTTTAATTCAAATTGAATTATGAGTGAAAAAATGTGAGATTTTAATTTTGAGTTGCTACGCCCAGGCCAGAGATTGTCTGAAAAGGATGGTGGCCTTATATGTTGAATGATGTTTAAAACTTTTTTTTGAAATTGCACAGTAGCCTGATTCTTTTGGCACACAGAATTTAAAGGAATATCAAGTATTCATTTCTACTGACATCCTTTATGTCATGCTGTGTTATCACAGAAAATAATTGTAACTTGTCCCTCAGTTTGTAACAACAAACATTGTATTTACAGTAATGTATTTGATATAGAGGTGTATGGGGCAAAACATTACGATCAGAGAAATGTGCCTCTCAAAAAGCCCTTTTATTAACTCTCATGTTTTTGCAGTGAATTGTGTTTTGTAGGAAGAGGATACTTTACCGTTCAATGTAATGTAAAAACAGTAATATTGTGAAATATTAGCACAATTTAAAATAGCTGTTTTCTATTTGAATATATTTTAAAATGTAATTTATTCCTGTGCTCAAAACTGAATTTTCAGCATCATTACTCCAGTCTTCAGTGTCACATGATTTTCAGAAATCATTCTAATATGCTGATTTGCTGCTCAAGAAACATTTCTTATCAATGTTGAAAACATTTAGCTTCAAAACAGTTGCTTCATATTTTTGTGCAAAAAGTGATACATTTTTATCAGTATTTTTGATTAATAGAAACTTCAAAAGAACAGCATTTATTTGAAATAGAAACATTATAAATGACTTGATTCATTTAATCCATTGCTGGATAAACGCATTAATTGCTGAACCCAAACTTTTGAACGGTATTGTATTTACATATCAAAACTGTGTGTATTTCAACATTTCTCCCATTGCAATGCCTCATATACTTCTATTGTGCATGCGTTATCACATGATTTTATTTATTTTTTTTTACAAACTGAGTGGCAAGTCAGATGCATTTTCATGGTAATTGACAGCATGTCACAGGTTCTGAATTTAAGTCTTTAAACCCTGGAATCATGAAACAAAGCTTTATGTGCATCATTAAATGTTTCTGCAGCGCATTAAAGCAGAACAATATTAATAATCCATAGCTTACTATTGGCAACTGAAGTATCTATCACATTGACAGATGTCATTCACCAGCGGTTTTGCATTGCTTGAATGGTGCTTTCACTGGCAATAATAGAAGGTTTGAGTGAAAGCATGGAAATGCGTGACTATGTTAACGTGTGTTGATAAAGGTAGCTTTGTAAGCTAGAAAAATACATGCCTGTGGGCCTTAAATCAATTGTTGAACAGCTAATACTCCACTCAACTGAGAATGTTATCCAGCAACAAGAACTGGATCAAATGCATCATGACGGATTATGCATAACTCATCTCATTGTGTATTAAACTATTTTATGCCATGCATTGTAAGAAACTGCTGCTCTTCATTTTAAACCTCTTGAGTCATTGAAATGTTATTTATAGGACAAATTATTTGTTCTTTATAACAAGCCTAATTAATGAAATTCAATTCTAAAGGGAACATTTTCTGGTTCAAAAATGAACATTTTGTCATTCTTTACTCAGCTTAATGTCATTCCATTTTGTATGAGTAAATAATGACAGCATTTTCATGTTTGAATAAACTTATTTCAAACTAAATTCACTTCAATGGGAAAATAAATTAGGTTAGGTTCAAAAGAAGTTTCTTCTGCTCTTCAAGGCTGCATTAATTTGATCAAAAATACAGTAAAGAGTGTTATATTGTGAAATATTACAATTTAAAATAACAGTTTATTTAATTGGAATGTATTTTAGAATGTCATTTATTCCTGTGATGCGCAGCTGAATTTTCAGCATCATTACTCCAGTCTTCAGTGTCACATGATTTTCAGAAATCATTCTAATATGCTGATTTGCTGCTCAAGAAACATTTCTGATTAGTATCAATGTTGAAAACTTCATATTTTTGTGGAAACCATTTTTTAGGTTTCTTTGGTGAATATAAAGTTTAAGAGAACAACATTAATGTCTACTCTGTACTGTCACTTTTGATCAATTTAATGCATCCTTGCTGAAAAAATGATCTTACCAACTTCAAGCTTTATTGTTTAGATAAACGTTTATTTCAAACTAAATTCACATCAGTGGGGGGAAAAAAAAAATTTGGAATAAGAAAAGAAAGCTTCATTCTCGATCTCTGTAAGAATCTCTGTGTCTTCTGTCTTCCTTTCTGTTGGAGTCTCTCTCTCGGCTTCGGTCCCGGTGGTGTTTCGAGTCTCTTTTCTCTTTGTAGTAACCTCTATCATTCCCTCGATCCCAGTCGCTTTTCCTCTCCCGCCATCGCCCGTGTTCCCTATCTTGTTCTTGGTCTCTTTGTCTTTCCTCCCTCCCACTCGATGCATCCCATCTATCCACTGATCTGTTCTGGGGCATCATGGATGTCAGATTGATGGGCTTTCGGAAAGGTCTATCCCTGCCTCCAAACCTCAGCTGACCCGATTCCTTTTTGCCCCCTTGGCCTCCTCCGAGTCGCCGTGGAATCCAGCCTTGGAGCGTCCGCTCTTGTTCGAAGTCCACGAAGAGTTCGTACTGGTCCACCAGCAGCTTGTTGGCATCTCTCCAGGCTCTCTTCACCGAACGCTCCTCCTTGTACTCGACGAAGGCATAACGCTTGGAGAAACCCGTCACGATGTCCCGGACCAGACGTACCCTGCGGATGTCTCCAAACTTGGAGAAGACTTCCTGGAGCTTGTCCTCAGACGTCTGTGGATTCAGGCGCGCCACGAACAGCGTCAGGTGAGGGTCACCGGTCACACCCTTGTTAGGCTGGTAACGGGCCATCATGGCCCTCCAGACGGCTTTGTCATGGGGCTCCAAATCTGTGCCATCGATGCTGCCCGCTTTGAGAGGCTCGTAAACCTTCGCCACAGGACTCCACTCGCTCATCATCTGAGGGTGGAGAGCTATGGTTACAATTGATAGATTACATCATTTATGCAATAATTCATGCAAAATCGAATTCCTAAAAAAAAATGTGTTAAAAATGATAATAATCTTTGTATTTAAAAGTTTCTAGATTACAATTTAAAATGATTCATGCAATTTATGCAACTTAAAAATTATAATGAATTTAAAGGTTTGTAGATTACAAATGATTTTGTAATTAAAAATAAATTTGTAATTTTGTTTACAATAATTTATGCAATAACTCATGCAAAATAGTTCCTAAACTATTTAAGTTACTAATAAGTTCCTGAAAAAAGTTAACATATATATATATATATAAATATATATATATAATAATGTATTCATTCATTAAAAAATGAAGTTACAATTTATATTGCATTTTTATTTAACATTTATTTAATATATATATATATATTAACGTTTTTCAGGAACTTTTTAATTTTTTGCATGCAAAACCCAGTTTGTCAGGAAATGGTTAACACAAAAAGACTATTATAAAATAAATATATATGTTGTATATGATTTTAATTTATGCATGTGAAATCCAGCCAGTTCCTATAGAAATATGTAAACAAAAATAGACTGAAAAAATAAATATATATGATGTATGTGATTTTTGTGCATGTAGAATCCAGTTCCTAAAGAAATAGTTAACTCAAAAAAGACTTCTATAAAATTAAACAATATGTTTATTATTTTGCATTTTATTAGACATTTTTTACATAAAAAAAAAAAATAGATTACATTTAGAATAATTTATGCAATAATTCATGCAAAATCCAGTTGTTTAAAAAAGAAATTGACTAAAAAAAATATTTTATTATTTATTCATCCTCACAACCTTTGTCTGGAACACAAGTTTTTTTCCCCAATCCTCACATTTGTGTAATATAGCGCACGAGTTGTATGCACTTTATGTCATATTGATGGAAAGAAATACCAGCATATCGGTTTGGGACGACACGAGGGCGAGTAAATAATGACACAATGTTGATTCCTGTGTGAATTCTTACTTAAATCATAAGGTAACACTTTACTTGAAGGGGTGTGCATAAGACTGACA